TGAAGTTGAAAGCGTGTCGGAATGCGGTGGGAAGGCCTGACCCGAATTCGTCTTATCTGCGCCCGATTCCATGTGTAGTCAGCAAAACTACCTGTTTTCTTTGTCTGAATTAAGCCTTTATTGGGTTTGCTTTATGACTGGGTCAGGTAAGAGAATTAGCAGTAATGTTTTGGAGACTTCAGAGATATATTTTTAAGATTTGTTGAAATCAATATTGTAACAAATTGGAGTGATGGTAGATGTTTTATAATTATACTTAGCTCAGCTGTTTTTTGGAGATTTTATTTATACTTTGAGATGTTTTGTATGCACAAATTAGGATGCAATGTGCAAGCAAAGTGTGATGCTGGCATGCTGCGTGAGGAAGCAGTTTCAAACAAACATTAATGCCATGTCCTCACATGCTCTGGCATCAGAGCTTATGTTGGTTTTTCAGGGCTGATATGGCAATCCCCTCTATTTCCGATACTTTGTAGTTGAGTCACAGACTTTCATGGTGTAAAAGCATGGCAGGCACCTCAAAGAGCATTGAATAAATTGCATTGTGTGTGTGTGACCTAAAACATGTAACTAACAATCAGAGTTGGTTATTACCAGTCATAGAAATTGTTCCAACTCCAGCAGTTGTTGCAATTTTTATATCAAGCTTTGTCATTGTGCTTTTTTAGCTGTACATATGTGGTTTTTCAGACTATAAACAACCATTATTTCTGTTTTCTCAGTATGATTTGCAGTATAACTCAAGATTGTACATTTGTCAGACTTTTGTCCCTTGCATAAGGCTTTTATGTTCTAGTTATGTGCCTCGAACATATTTTTTAGCTGTCACACTAGGTTTGAAGTGGTTTTCAGCTGTTTTAACTTGTTCAAATAGAGATAGAACCACAAGTGGTGTTTCTGTGTAGCTGTGACCAAAGCATATCTAATTATAGCTAATAAGAAACATTGGCTTTTTCCATTGCTAATGAGGCATCAAATGATAGTCATGTTTTTGGAATTTGCATTTCCATGGCCATGAAGTGCAAGCTATTGGATGCTGAGTTACAAGTAATGGTGTAAGTGTTGCGGATCCACTTGTAGATGGGACTTCCTGCAAAACTGTTTGATGTATGTTCTCATATATCAGGAAGACTCCAATGTGGACATGGGTGTGATTTATTTGGATAGCAGTATTCAATTATGTAGCCTTTTACTAAGGCATGTCTGATTAGAAGCATTAATGCAAATCTTGGAATGTTTATTATGTGTAGCTAATAGTCTACTGGATCCCATGCTCTATTGCTTTCATCTGAAGCTTTGTCATACAGATTTAGGTAGCTAAATTATTTTGATGAGGCCTTGTGCTGATGGTGACCAGGTAGTTTTAGGTCATTTTGGTCCAGCTGCATTATTCTTATCCAATAACATATAAATATTGATTTGTTATTGCTCTCTCAGCTCACACCTTATACTGCATAGATCATAGCAGGTGTAGTTGTACCCTCCATTTATTTATAAGGTCAAAGTTTTTTGTGTGTTTCAGTAGGCCTACATGCAATTTAAAGGTTCTATCTCCTCTGTGCTCTGTAAAGGCAAACATTTTGTTCATAAGTTTTGTTTGAATAGTTGTATAGGTGGGATTTGGCTTAAAGCACTTGCCAAGTGGTGCTTGCTGTGTGTGCACAGAAGCCATGAGAGAAGGATGCAGATCTTTCTCATCACATGATCTTTTCCAAAATTAGTTTGACTGGCTTTTGCCAGAGAGGACTGTACAGTGTTTTATTTGTCATTCACTGTAACACCATGGCCACTGCTAGCACATACTGATCACTGACATGCTGACATATTGCTCCATCTTGGCCTGTAATGTGAAGTCAAATTTGTCATTCACAAAGTGATTCAACTTATTTGGTACCTTTGTTCATCTTAATTTGTATTTTGGCTGGTGATATCTTTTGTCCATGAGGTTTTTGTGATTTCAATTTGACACATGCAGAGTATCTCAAATCACACATGCAGATTTAATATTTTTGCAAGTAGACTCATGTCAATTAAGCATTTGCTCCAGAGGCAAGCTTTTCTTTTGCCCAGAACTCTGACATACATATACCATGTGCTGATCTTTACATTGCTTGCACAATACATGTCTTGCTTTGTTGGCCACTTGCAGGCTAGTCAGAGTTGTTCAGCAGATCTAACTCACATGCAGATTTAAATATGTGCATTTTTTACACAAAAGGCTGTTGAGCTAAATGGGTGAATAGATATAAATCACTTGCAAATTTAATTTGATCTCATTGCTATAAAGGAGGTACTATTTGTCATTTTGTTTCACAGCAAAAGGTAAGCCTGCGAGGAACTCTATAATTGTTTGATGGCTGATGTGCAACAGATCATGCTCAAGTTGGGCAATTGCATCTTGGTAATGAGTTTGCATTAGAAGGTGTTGTCACTAGAGGTTTTTGGGTTAGGTCTCAAATGATGGAAGGTCATGAGAACAATTCACCACATAAAAATGCTGGTTTGAAGTTGTAAAGGATAAGAGTTTCATCACTTAAGTTCATATGGTGCAAAAGGTAGTCAATATCAGAGTTTTTCATGCCCAGTTTTGTGTAGGGTGAATGTTTTTCCAGGTGTGTATAGAGCAACTGGCCATGTATGGTAAAAGTTAATGGCATCTGGGTAGTGTTAATGTAGGAAATGAATGTGAAGTTTCTTGGTAGCTTGCTGGATGTTGCTTGTCTAAAATCACAGACACAGAATTGTGGTAATAGGAATAGAAAGGTAGGTAAGTATGTGGTATGCAAATGGTTTGGAGGTATCTTCCTACTTTGTTTACCATTATGCTCAAAACATGAATAAACAAAACAGTAAGCAAATTTCTAATGTTGTGCAATATCATGATAAGTTTGCATTTTCTACAGCCTAGACTGGCCTGCTGACTGCACATTTACCAGGATTTGCTCTGAATGTTGTAGGCAGAAAAACCTCTTGGCCAAGTAAGTACCAGTTGATCAGCATGATGCACATCTTGTCTTGTTCAAGGCTGCTTTGCATTCACCAGGATTGGCATTGTTTGGGCAGGAAGTGTAAAGGAAGCTCTTGATGTAAAATACAAAAGTTGTTGCCATTTGGTGACAATCAGGCCAGTGATGCATCACAAACATAGTTTATTTAAATTTTGGAAATGGTTCTTTTTATTGGCATCGCTAATGGATTCAATTACAGTAGAATAATATCTTCAGTTGGAGAGTGCAATCAGTCCCAGATTCCCCTGTTCGCATAAATTTTGAGTGTCACACACTGAAATGGGAATCAATAGCACCATGTTTGGACTGAGAGCAAGGCATTGCTTTAGACAGACTTCTTCATTACAAAATTTTCCCTTAGACAATTTACTGTAATGCAGATTTGTATCCTATGCAAACCTTTCATTGCATGAATATGAGCATGATACAAATGTTTGATAGATAATGTTCTGCAATGCAGGTCTTTGTCTTTGACAACTTTGTGCAGTATTGAAACTGGCCCAAATGTTTGATAGACAATGTTCTGTAATGCAGAGATTTGTATTTGACAGACTTGTGTGGTATTGAAACTGGCCCAGATGAGCTAAATGCAGATAAATTTTGCAAGGCAAGCTCTTGTCCAACAAGGTCTCACTTGTATAAACTCCCATGAACCTTTTCCAATAAATGTTTGTCCAGAAACCATCTCTGCAACAGTACAAAGTGAGTGGTGTGTATTTCTAAGTAACACTGGAGCAATTTGTGTGACAGGGAGTTGAACAGACTAGCAATTTTGCTCTGATCATGTGCAAACCCAAATGATGAACAGCAGTATGTGTGCATGTGTAAGATTTGTAATGTTCTGATCACATGCAGACCCAAAAGATAAAAAATAAATATGTTTGTTTATGTGATGTTTGTAATGTCTATGTGAATATATGTATTAAATGGCAATGGGAAAATCAGATAAGTGCCATACTGAAGTATACAGAACTACATTACAAGTTTTTGGGGGCCTGCTTTGCCAGGCAATGGAGTTGGGATGTATTTAACATCATTGAGATTTCCTGGTTGATTGGACCTCTGGCTGACAGGATATATGGCTGGATCAGGTGTGCGTGCTGACTCCAGGGACATAACTGCATGGAGGAATTTTGGTGTGCTAAATGTTTTATATGTTTATTATATCTCATTATAAATATGATATGAAGTTTGGTAAGTTCTGTTCACATCATCAGCTTGTGGCCATGGCTTGACTTGCCATGACTTCACATTCATGCTTGATCACATATCAAGCATGTTGACTGACGGGACAGCCTGGCTGACTGGTGGGCGTTTGGCCACAGGTGCGGACTGCGATGGGCGTATGGTCAGCCAGCGCGCCAGCCTAGAGCCGTGCCGCCAGCCGCCAGGCGTTTGATGTGCCGGAGATGAGCGACCACCTCGGCGATGGGCCGCCCAGCAAACGGTCCAAATACGGAGATAGCTATGGCTCCGGCCTCGACCCCGCGGGGGGCAATGGTGGGTCATGTGTGCGTTGTCTGTGTGATGATGGTGGGGATTGTAGTGCACGGGCGTGCACAACAGTGGTGCGGCTGGCCTAAAATCCGCTGATCACTGTCCATTCGTAGCAGTCTGGCGTTGTTTATTTCAAATTCTGCATTTGGTTTTACATTTGACTGCATAACGCTGAGGTCAGCCGCCAGGTTTGACGCAGTGTGTTATGAGGTTTAAACGTAAGCAACGCGTTTTGGTGTTTGCACCGTGTTTTGATCCTGGGATTTTCATCTTGTAAGGGACTTCTACATGGTGAAGTTGAAAATACTGCAAAATTAGTTTGATTTTTATTGTTATTGTTTTGTTGTGTTGAAAAAGTTCACTTGATTGCTGCATTATAAACCAGTTTGCTCATGATGTCACGGGTTTTATCTTATGGACATGAGCAGTTGGCCTGCAGCTTTGCCTTGTCTTTGTCTTGAGGATGTATGTGACGCCCGCTGGACGGCCGCAGACATGGCGCTGTCGCTGGACCTGGAGCTGTCGCTGCCGGACGAACTGGAGACGGCCGCCTCCAAGCCGCCCGGCCAGTACGGCGCGCCCAGCATGGCCAACGGCACCGCCGACTCCGGCCACATGCACATGATGATCAACAAGCAGCAGCTGGCTGGCATGGGCCGGCCCGTCGGCGCACTGCAAATGGCGCCGAACGCGGTCGTCTCGAAGGGCGCGCTGGTGCGGCCGATGGACGCCCCCGGGATCCCCATGACCAGCCTGCATGGCCGCCTGCCCATGTCGAACGCGGGCGGCATGCACCAGGCGGGCGTGTCGATGCACGCCAGCGTGCCCGGGGTCTCCATGGGCAACGTGCTGTCGAGCGCGCTGTCCGGACCGCTGAACACGCTGAGCGGCGCGTCCGGCGGCGGCGGCGGCGCGCGTCCGGCCGGTATGTGGACGGGCCGGCCGGCCGGGCCGCACCTCGCCAATGGCCAGCCGGCCGGCGGGCCTTCGCCGCAGCTGGCGCAGCAGCTGATGCAGCGTCAGATGGCGCCTCAGTCGGGCGGGCACATGCAGGTGCGTCCGACCATGGTGAGCACCATCGGCGGACTCCACATCAGCGGGCGGGGACGGTGGGTGGTGGGTGGTGTGAGCGGTGTAAGTACTCTTCAGCTTTGTGTGGTTGATCTGGTGGTGCTAATTTCATCAGTGTGGTTCCAACGTGCCTTAGCAACAGATCTTAGTGTTATTCAGTATTATGCTCTTTCTGGTCTGTGTTGTCTGCTGTGGTTAAATGCCAATCCCACTACCTTAAAATCAAGCACCAGCGAGGTCGGTTTAGCCTCGCCGGCTAGTGTGATCCCGTGCCGACAAGCGGTGCTGCTGTCGTGGCGCGGGTGGCCAGCTGACTGGCCTGACTGACTGTTGGCAGGGTGCGATGAACCAGCTGGGCGGGCCGCAGCCACCCACCCAGCAGAGCTTTAACTTCCCGGGGCAGCAGCGGCTCATGGCGCCGGCCGCCTCGGTCAGCAACGGCACCACGACCGGCCTGTACTCTGGACAGGGTGCGGCGCCCGGTGGTCCCGCCCCGGCCGGTAAGCCTGCCGCCGCCGCGCCGGCCCCGCAGCAGCCGCAGCAGCCGCCGCCTCCACCGCCGCCGCAACAGCAGCAGCAGCCACAGCAGTCGCAGCAGTCACAGCCACCGCAGCAGCAGCAGCAGCAGCAACAGCCGCAGCGGGCGGCGTCAGCGGCGGCGGGCGGACGCGCGCCGCACTCCGCCGGTGACCCCGAGAAGCGTAAGCTGATCCAGCAACAGCTGGTGCTGCTGCTGCACGCGCACAAGTGTCAGCGTCGCGAGCAGACCGGAGGCGACCACACGGAGGTGAGGGCCGGCCCGGCAGGCCGCGGGCGCCGGGACACAGGCGTGCCGCGAGCCTGGGGTCAGACTGTGGGAAGGTTGCTCTGCCAGCCGAGAAGCAAATTGCGTGTTGATATTGAGAAGCAGCATGATTAGCAACAACCTACGGTCGTGGTGATTGGGATGAGCAAGGTTTGTCTCGGAAAAAAGATATTTGGCCTGTTTGGTCAACCTCACGTGCACACACGTCGATTTTGTTCAGCTTTTGGGTTCCGGACTCAACAACTTTCGTTCACTCTTGTACAGCTACGGAAAAACACCGTTCTCTGACCGGCTTGGTTTGGTGTGTTCCAGTGCAAGCTGCCACACTGCCAGACGATGAAGGACGTGCTGAACCACATGACGGAGTGCCGGGAGGGCAAGTTGTGCCGTGTGCCGCACTGCGCCTCCTCGCGCCAGATCATCACCCACTGGAGGAGCTGCATTCGCACCAACTGCCCGGGGTGCCTGCCGCTGAAGCAGGCGGAGAACCGGCGCGGCCAGCAGCCGCGGCCGCCGGGCGCGCCGGCCGGCGGCGCGCCGCAGCCGCCGGCGGCCGTCCAATTCACCGCCGCGGCCGCTGCCGGCCTGCCGCCGCAGCCGCAGCCGCAGCAGCAACAGCAACAGCAACAGCAACAGCAACAGCAACAGCAGCAGCAGCAGCAGCAGCCCGCGGCGGCGGCAGCAGCGGTGGCGTCAGCAGGTGCTGGCCAGCTGCCGCGGCCTGCTCTGCCGCTGAGCGCCGCCGCCGGCTCGCCGGCCGGCCTCGGCACCGAGCCGGCGGTATCGGCCACGGCCGCCGCCGCCGCCGCCTTCCAGAACAGCCGCCATGACCTGCCCAGCTGGGCGTCCGACCTCAACAACGACAGCGCCAACAGCGTGAGTGGCACCGGGCCGTGGTCGCTCTGCCCGCTGTCGGATGTCCGAGGCGGCTAGGATGTGTGTCGTCTTATAGTGCATGTGTTCGCGGGTAGAAGTGCTCCCAGTACTTAAGTGAACGTCTGTTGTTCAAAGACGGTATTCCCTATGGGATTGGACTCTCCGCAGTGTCCGCCCTTCCCTCCAGCGTGAGAGACAGACGACGCCATATAACCTCAGCTGATTGTGTCGTAAAAAGACGATATTACCGTCTCCAAATGGCCTTGGCAGTCTTAGAGGCAAAGCTGCCATCATTTTATCAAAACATGGTATTTCCAGCCCCTGTCTGTATGTGAAAAGCAAGAACGTAGATCGAGCCATTTCTGGACAGATACAAACAGAACCAGGTTTTGGCACCGCTTAGATAAAGCGCCTACCCGCAGTTTGAAGAAAACAAACACTTGGAGTGACGCGATGTGCACTACACCCGCTCTCCATGCCGTGTGAAGGGCTGTGCTTGAAACAATGTCGTTTTAAGCATAAATCCGCATCACAGACTGATGTTTCACGTGGGTCACTGCAATGCATCAGCAAAGGTGACTTACAAAAGTACGCATGCATACACAACATCTGGGGAAAATGCAGCACTATCGGCATATTGTTTTAAAGTGGGTAGCGACAGTTTGTTGTCGCGGTATTGTCTGCTAGACTAAAAAACAAACTTAAACTGAGCGGCTAGTGGTGTCAGGTGTCATTGTTATGCATCCCTGGATGCCGGCTGGTTGTGCTCGGAGCTGCGGACGCTTGACTCCGGCCTTTGTGTTTGCCAGGCGCTGTCTGGCAACGCCGACTTCCGGGCGATGCTGGACCCAGTGACGGCGGCGCCTGTGCATCACACCAAGGAGTGGCACATGCAGGTCACACCCGACCTGCGCACCCACCTCGTGCGCAAGCTGTGAGTACCGCCTCGGGTCGCGCCCTGCGCCTTACCTCGTGCGCGAGTTATGAGTGACGCCGCGGGCCGCGTCATCCGCCGGTGTTGATGTAGCTGACCCCGCAGTTGGCACTGGTCGGCGGCTGCCGGCGGTCTCTGGAGCTGGCCCATTTGGTGTGTTGAGTTGCCATGCGAGGATGCGGAAGCCTTCTGTTGCGGACAGAAGAGGCAGGATGGGGCGTGATCGTTCTTTGGGAGTGGGTGCCAGCACAGGCCACGTGTGGCCGAGATTGACCGTGGCCCTCGTGCCGATCCACAGGGTGCAGGCCATCTTCCCGACGCCCGACCCCAGCGCTATGCTGGACCGGCGCATGCACAACCTCGTGGCGTACGCCAAGAAGGTGGAGGGCGACATGTACGAGATGGCAAACTCGCGCTCCGATTACTACCATCTGCTGGCGCAGAAAATTTACAAGATCCAGAAGGAGCTGGAGGAGAAGCGCCAGCTGCGACAGGTGGCGGTGAAGGTGTCGCCGGGCGCAGCCGGCGCCCCAGCGCCTCCGCGGCCGCTGGCGCCGCCGCCGCCGCCGCCGCCGTCTCAGCCGCAGCCACCGCAGCCGCAACCGCCGCAGCAGCAGCCACTGCAGGCGCCGCAGCCACCGCAGCCGCCACAGGCCGGGCCTCGTCAGCCGGCGGCGCAGCTCGGCGCCCACCTGGCGCCGCCGCAGCAGGCCGGCTTGCCGACCTACAGCGGCGCGCTGTCGGGCGCCGCCACCGCCGCCGCCGCCGCGCCGGCCGACCAGCAGCTCCGCCTCGGCGCGCCCATCTATGTGCAGAAGCAGTTCACCAACGGGCTGCCGGGCGCGGCGCCAGCGACGGCGGTCTCGGCGTCGGCGGTCAGCCTGGCGGCCCAGCTCAGCTCCGGCTCGGCGGCCGGCGCCGGCGCTGCCGCCGCGTCGCGGCCGCTCTACACCACGGCCGGCGTCAAGGTGGAGCAGGTCAGTCGGCTGATGACAGTTACCGCCGAGCTCGGAACAACCACCCTGCTGCCAACTGTTTGCGGTCGGGGAGGCTCATGGCAGGGGCCGGGCCAGTTGTAGTTTCCGAGAATTAACCTCAGTTGGCTGAGCTGGGTTACGTGGGCGCCTTTTCCGTGTGGTGTAGCGACGCCTCTGTGACTGCTATGGTGCCTCTAACCTGGTGTCGCACTTCACAGGAGGACTCGGCGTTTGACAGCCTGTTGCGCGACACGAACATACAGCAGCAACCGTCCCAACAACAGCAACAACAGCTACAGCAGCAAAAGCAGCAACAGCTACAACAGCAACAGCTGCAGCAGCAACAACAGCAGCAACAGCTGCAACAGCAACAGCAGCAACAACAGTCGCAGCAGCAGCCGCCACCGCCGCCGCAACAGCAGCAGCAACAGCAACAACAACAGCAACTGCAGCAGCAACAACAACAACAGCAACTGCAACAACAACAACAGCAACTGCAACAGCAACAGCAGCAACAGCAGCTTCAAAAGCAGCAGCAAGCACAGGCACAGTCGCAGCAGCAAGCACAGGCACAGCCGCAGCAGGCACCGTCTCAGCCGCAACCGCAGTCTGAAGGCAAGATGGAGGTGCAGTCGGAAGGAGGCGAGCCCGGCGGCCATACCAGCGCGCCGCCCACGCTTCACGCGCGGGTCAAGACTGAGCCGGCCGATATCAAGCCGGAGCCCATGGACGAGACCAGCTGGGACAAGGCTTCCGTCAAATGTGAGTCCGACTCCGCCAGCTGTGAGACTGGGGTGGGCGGCTAGGCCGGGCTGGTTGGACAGCAGTGCTGTGCTGTCGGATCCGTTTTCCCAGCAGGGTTCTAGTACAAGGAGCTCCGCTGATCCTGTTTGAGCGTTGAGCCGCGTTATAGATTTGCACAATGCCTCTACAGCGGGCCGGAAGCGCTGGGTTTCGGAAGGCCGTTGGAGAGCTCAGGGGTTAGATTGAACACCTGTATATCTGTGACAAGTTATGTGTAGTTGATGACTTATGAACGGTCTGAGACGCCATGCTCTCGATCGTGAGTCGGCAGAGCGAGTTCAGTCATGTCATTGTTCACTCGGTTGAAGGCTACCGACTGATACCAGTGGATCCGCGATAAGCGTGCCTGTGAGGGACCGTGTGTCCGCCGGTCTGGTGCTCGTGCCAGGGGCCCGTCTGACTATGGCGTTCGGCCGTGGAGGTCCGGCGCGACCCGGCCCGTGCCACCCGGCCGCCAGCTCGTGCGGCTGCTGACGGGTGACGCCTGCCGCTGTTTCAGCGGAGCCGGCGACGGCGAAGGAAGAGCGCAGCAGCCCGTCGGCGGAGGCGGCCGCCACGCCCTCGGACGCCCGCGCCACGGCCACGCCCAAGGCCGAGAGGAAGCACAAGCCCCGTGAGTGCGCTCCTCGGGCCTCTGCTGCCCGCGCCGGGAGGGCCCTACGGGCCTGGCTCAGGCTTGTGGGACGGTGGGGCTGAGGTGCTAGAATTAGATCAAAAGTTAGTGCCAAAAATTCGCGAAAATAGGGGGGGGTTTGGGAATGCGAACTTTTTCCGCCCGCGATAGCTGCCGTTAATGATCTTTTTCGCTGGATGCGTGACAGAAATGAATGGGGAAAGGAAGTCCATTCAGGAGGCGTTTCTGGGGAGTATTTACCAATGAACGATGGCGAGAAGCTGCATGATGTGATATAAAACACACAAGCCACAAGAATGCTTTTCACCAACATTTTCGATGCAATGTTTTGGTACGAATGCATTAGTAAAAATAGTGGTGTGTAGTACTCATGCAAGGAAGGACCTTTGAATTACGAGATAGAGCGGTGACGTCAATGAATCGGTCAGTTACGAGATTACGTAAATCAGCTACGAAGTCACGAGTTACATGTAATCTGGAGCCACCATGGCCTGCTACCCTGCTGCTCAAACGACATTGTTATTGCGATGGTATGCAACTGTTTGATCACATGTGGTTGCACCTTTATAGCTTCAGTGTTTTGGCGGGAGCTTGATAAAGTAATGCATTACATTTTTACACCCATGTAGCATATGACGATGCTGGCGTTCTTGATGAAATACAGTGGCAGAGATAGGCCTTCACATTTGATTGGGACTTATTGTACAAAAGGCATTCGACATTTTGTTGGAAATAAGTATATATGAGGTGTGCCACGTTTTATTGAAACTGGGCATACATTATGCGTACCGAAGAAAACAATGTTCTCCGTCATCCACGTTTACCACTCGCCCTCCATAAAATCGAGGCAAGTGTAAAGCAGCCGGCACTCAGGAAGTCATTACAACCATCTTGAGCATCACTCACACATAACGTGTGTGATCTCGCACTTTTACGCGTTCAGCCCACGGCAGTATCGAAATAAGTCTACAAGTATTACCCGTAAGCAAACGTTTTCTCCCAATGCTATAATTTTTTCGTATCATAGGTTAGGTATTGAGAACGGAAAATAATAAGTTGAACTTATGTTTGAAGAATTTTGTATTCTCTTCCTTGCCCATACGATTTGCGAAACAGCCAGTGCTACAATGCCAAATTATATATTCTCCTCCCAGCTTATAATATTTGTGAAACGGTCCATGCTACAATGTGCGATGCGCCGACCTGGTCTGTCAAAGAAGGCCGCGGGAGAAAAGAAACCGTTTTCGCGCCGTGAGTGTCCTGCTGTAATAATGGCGAGTCTGGAGTTTCCTTTTCATGATCAGACACTGACGGTATGTTGTTATGCAAGAATGGCTAGTGACGGCTATGCCACATGATTACGTTGGGCGTTCGAACATGTGTGGGAAGTACGTCGCTGCCCAGCATTCTCGCTCGTCGGGCGCGCGCGCCGCCTGCGCCGCTCGCTGAGCACGGCCGCCCTCCGTTGCAGTGTTCTCGCCGGACGAGCTGCGGCACGCGCTGATGCCCACGCTGGAGAAGCTGTACCGCCAAGAGCCCGAGTCGATACCGTTCCGACAGCCCGTGGACCCGGGCGCGCTCGGCATCCCCGACTACTTTGACATCATCCGCAAGCCCATGGACCTCTCCACCATCAAGCGGAAACTGGACATTGGCTCCTTCAAGGACCCGTGGGAGTATGTTGAGGACGTATGGCTTATGTTCGACAACGCCTGGATCTACAACCGGAAGACGTCCAAGGTCTACAAGTTTGCCTCCAAGGTATGTGTTTGGCCAAGCGTGTTTTTTCGCCCCATACCGTTGTTGAAAATTAAATTGAAGACACGTTCTAGCCCGCATTCTAGCATTGTTGATGAAATTGGTAAAATATTAGGCATAACAAGGTGGTAGGCACATCAGGCTGGTGAAGTAAAATACACTGATGTTAAGAGACGTAAGAACAAGTGTCCGCCGGTGCTGGCCCATGCTGTGACGCCGCCCGTGCCCGCCAGCTGTCGGAGGTGTTCGAGCAGGAGATGGACCCGGTGATGCAACAGCTGGGCTACTGCTGCGGTCGCAAGTACACCTTCCAGCCGCAGACGCTCTGCTGTTTCGGCCAGTCGCTCTGCAGCATCCCGCGCGACGCCAAGTATTTCAGCTACCAGAACCGCATCACCTATTGCGTCAAGTGCTTCAACGAGATTCAGGGCGACTCGGTCAGCATCGGCGAGGAGACCACGCAGCAGTCCATGTAAGTGCGGCGCTATGTCTGTGGGCGAGCGACGCTCCGTCCGTGGGCGAGGGGCGCTCTGTCCGTGGGCGAGGGGCACTCTGTCTGTGGGTGAGCGACGCTCCGTCCGTGGGCGAGCGGCGCTCTGTCCGTGGGCGAGCGACGCTCCGTCCGTGGGCGAGCGGCGCTCTGTCCGTGGGCGAGGGGCGCTCTGTCTGTGGGCGAGCGGCGCTCTGTCCGTGGGCGAGCGACGCTCCGTCCGTGGGCGAGCGGCGCTCTGTCCGTGGGCGAGCGGCGCTCCGTCCGTGGGCGAGCGGCGCTCTGTCCGTGGGCGAGGGGCGCTCTGTCCGTGGGCGAGCGGCGCTCTGTCCGTGGGCGAGCGGCGCTCTGTCCGTGGGCGAGTGGTGCTTGCGGGGCGCGTCTGGTGTGTAGGTGCTACGTTGTTTCCAACCTTCGGCATCTGTTGGTGCGTTGGCGCGCGTTTGGACGGACGGTGCGCTAGAACGCTGGCTTATATGCTCGCCCGCGTAATGAGCTTGTTTGCGTGTTGTCAGCTTGTGCCTGTGTCAGCCGCACGGCCGCGCGGTGGCCGGTAAGTCGTCGAGCTGGTCTCCCCCGCGCGCGTGCTGACCATCGCCTTGTGTGGCAGGGCCATCAAGAAGGAGAACTTCGTCGAAATGAAGAACGACAACTTCGAGATGGAGGCGATGGTGGAGTGTACGGACTGCGGCCGCAAGCTGCACCAGATCTGCGTGCTCCACATGGACGTCATCTGGCCGCAAGGGTGGGTGTCGCGACGGCCGCCCGGCGAGCGGCGCCGCCCGGCTCGCGCTGCTGCGCTCCTGCGGTGTGCAGTGTTGAGGTCGTTATCCCCCGGGCAGCTCCACGCAGCCTGGCCTGCCGGCGTGTGATGTGTTAACACCATATCGTGGCGCTTTCCCGAGTTCGCGGTACTGACCGCCGTTGTGTGCGACCGTGACAGCCATGTCGTGACCTTTGTGCGGTTTTCTTGCAGCTTTACCTGTGATAACTGCCTCAAGGCGAAGGGCGCGAAGCGGAAAGATAATAGGTTCAATGCGAAGCGTTTACCTGCAACCAAGCTAGGCACCTACATAGAAAATCGAGTCAACAACTACCTGAAGAAGAAGGAGTCGGGCGCTGGTGAAGTGTTCATACGTGTGGTGTCCAGCGGCGACAAGATATGTGAGGTGAAGAGCGGCATGAAGGCTAGGTGAGTTTGACCCATTGATGGCGACCGCAGCCATGTGAAGCGACAGGATTGAGATCAACGGGCGATCACGAATTTAGTGACCACTGGGTGGATTGGCTGTGTCGCAGGACATGAATTTTTATGACCCTGTCTTCCATATTCTGCCTGGGGCTTTCGGTTTTGAAGGCCTGCTGGACCAATGTTACATGGGGAAGTACGCCGTGCGGCGCGACCCATCGTCCGAGCGGTAACAACGGCCATCACCGGCAGGTACTGCGACACGAACGAGATGCCGTACAAGTTCCCTTACCGGGCGAAGGCGCTGTTCGCCTTCGAGGACGTGGACGGCCACGAAGTGTGCTTCTTCGGCATGCACGTGCAGGAGTACGGCTCGGACAGCCCGCAGCCCAACCGGCGCCGCGTGTACGTGGCATACCTGGACTCCGTGCACTTCTTCCGGCCGCGCCAGTTCCGCACGTCCGTCTACCACGAGATCCTGCTGGCCTACCTGGACTACGTCAAGCAGCTGGGGTCAGTGTCATGGTGGTGTGGACAGGCGTTACCGGGCCAGGCAGTGCCGTGACCTCGCCGCCGCTGTTTGGGCCCGGCTCTCTCGGTTGCTAGTCAGCTGACTCAAGGAGAGACACGTAGGGGCGGATTCAGGGACATCAACCCACTGCCCTTACCCCCCCCCCCCCTCCGTCGAAACGGTATCGATAGTCTGAGTTTCAGGAAATGTGGCTGCTCAGTTAGTTGGGTTATGGTGACGTATCGCGTGTCGGGCTGTGAGGTTTATGATGGTTAATTTGTTTCCCTCTCAAACCGCGTTTCCTTTAATCGTGAAGCCATGGGCGACCGTCTGAGGTCTCGGCACACCCAGGAGTGGGTCTGGGACGGGATGAGGCCTTTCGCTACGTTGGCGTGCGTTGTGCGGACGTGTGCGCCTGCCGTCATGACGTGTCTGACGCGGCAACTCGGCGTGCGTGCCCAGGTACACGATGGCGCACATCTGGGCGTGTCCGCCTTGCGAAGGCGACGACTACATCTTCCACTGCCACCCGGCCGACCAGAAGATCCCCAAGCCGAAGCGGCTGCAGGAGTGGTACAAGAAGATGCTGGACAAGGGCATCATCGATCGCATCGTGATGGACTACAAGGACATCCTGAAGCAGGCGGCCGAGGACTCGATCCGCACGCCGGCCGAGCTGCCGTACTTCGAGGGCGACTTCTGGCCGGGCATACTGGAGGAGAGCATTCGCGAGCTGGACCAGGAGGAGGAGGAGAAGCGACGCCAGATGGAGGCGGAGGAGGCGCGCGCCGCTGCCGCCGCCGAGCCCGAGGTCGAGAGTCCCGCGCCCGACGGCAAAAAGAAGGGCGCCATCAAGAAGCAGAACAAGAAAAACACCAAATCGAAGTCGACCAGCAAGAACAAGTCGAAGAAGTCGAACCAGAGCGGCAACGACCTGTCGACCAAGGTGTTCGCGCTGATGGAGAAGCACAAGGAGGTGTTTTTCGTGGTGCGGCTGCACTCGGCGCAGTCGGCGGCCAGCCTGCAGCCGATCCAGGACCCGGACCCGCACATCCAGTGCGAGCTGATGGACGGGCGAGACAACTTCCTCAGTCTGGCGCGCGAGAAGCACCTGGAGTTCTCGTCGCTGCGCCGCGCCCTGGGCGCCACGCAGCACATGCTGTACGAGCTGCACAACCAGAACCAGGAGACGGTCGTCTACACGTGCAATACCTGCAAGAACAACATCGACACGCGCTACCACTGCACAGTCTGTGACGTGAGTACCGTTTCATTGAACGTGGATGGTCGTCTCCTGTCACAATGTGTGCGTGGGGAGGCCCCAAACGGGCTTTACGTGAAGCGAAGACGCACGCTTGAATGTTGTAGGGTGCTGAGGCGTCCGTGGACAGTCCTTTCTCTGCTTCGTCATCGCACCATGTATTGAAACGGCTTTTTGATTGGTGAATGTTTTGGTGCCCCGGCGGTTTAGGAACGCAGCAAACTAACAGTGGCGGCCCCTCTCGGGTGTCACTGTACGTATGTTATGGTCTGACTCCCGCCTGTCCATGCTCGCAGGACTTCGACCTGTGCGTGTCGTGCTACGAGAAGGAGCGGCACCCGCACAAGATGGAGAAGCTGGGCTTCGACCTGGACGGCGAGACGAGCGAGCGTGCTGGCCAGTCGAACTCGGACATCCGCCGGCAGTCGCTGGAGCGCTGCATCAAGTCGCTGGTGCACTCGTGCCAGTGCCGCGACGCCAACTGCCGGCTGCCCAGCTGCCACAAGATGAAGCGCGTCGTCTCGCACACCAAGTCGTGTCGCAAGAAGGTCAACGGCGGCTGCCCCATCTGCAAGCAGCTGGTGGCCGTCTGCTGCTACCATGCCAAATGCTGTAAGGAGGATAAGTGCATGGTGCCGTTCTGCAACAGCATCAAGTCGCGACTGGCGCATCAGCAGATGCAGGCACAGTTGCAGAGTAACGCGCTGCTGCAGCGGAGGATCGCCCAGATGCGCTCGGCCAGCGGCGGCAGCATGGCGGCGTCCGTGCAGGCAGCGGCGGCGGCGGCAGCGCCCAGCGCGGCGCCGGCCGCGCCACCGCCGCCGCCACCAGCGCCGGCGCCGCGCCCGGCCCCGGCCGACGCCGCCGCCAAGCCCACAGCCCAGGGCCCGCCCGCCAACGTGCTGATGGCCGTCAAGCAGGTGAGTGAGCGCCAGCAGACGGCCGAGCGCCTGAGCGCCAGGGTTGGCGGGCGTCGGGCGCCGCCCCCTGGCGCCCGCTCTGCCCGGGCGTACTGCGCTTCTCGTCACGATTGCGCATTACGTGTGCTTGGCTATCAGCTACGATCCTCCCCAAATGCGCTTTATGTGTTGTCGTCAGGCGTTGCACCGTTGCTATTTCATCTAATGTGTTGTGCCACTCATTGCCACCCCTTGTTACGCCGCCACTGTTAACGTTGCACCACAAGTGAATGGTGAAGTTCCGTACGTTTTCATACATCTTCTTGACCGCCTGCATCATTATTCACGAGCGCTTTTGCTGTCCGTGGTGCCTCATTAAAACGCATAGCATGCGCTACGCTTTGAATGTACCCTCTTGCTAACATATCCTCTGTTTTTGTCACTTTCTTTTACAAACAAATGGGCCGTCGGCATGTGTCGCCGTTGGCCGGGCTCGCCCGGTGGCGGCGTCGCCGGTCGCGGGGCCGCCGGCGTGGCGCCCGCCTGGCGTGCTCTGGCTGCGTGTCACAGCAACAGCAGGCCTCCGTGTCACAGGTGCAGGAGGCGGCGGCGCGCCAGCACGCGGCGCCCTCGGCCGTCGGCTACGGCAAGAACAACCCGCCGCTGGCGGGGCCAGCCGGCCTGGCGGCGCCGCAGCCGCCGCAGCAGCTGCACCACCAGCGGCTGCCCATGCAGCAGCAGCTGGCCGGCCAGCCGCCCGGCCGCCTGCTGCCCGGCATGAACGACTGGAGCAACAGGTGAGGTCTGCCGCCGATGGACAGCGGGCCGGCGGGGAGGGGAGGGCGCCGCCGCCGGTGTAGTGAACTTTGGGATTGCCTTAGGTGAACGTGTTGATTGATGGGTTGATGGGATGGGATGGATGGATGGGTGATGAAGCGTCGAAATTACTAGCTATCAGATAGGCAATGGAGCCTTTAGGTTGGCGCGATCCCGCGCCGCAGTACACCCGGACCTCTTATGCATGGGTGGTATGCTAGTCGGTCAAGTATACGGTCGTTAACACGTCCGTTGTCGTATTTTGCATGGGTAGCCACATGGCCCACCTAATCTGATAATTGGCTTCCGCAGCCAATCCCTTCAATCCTGGCGATGTGGAGAGAGCCCCGTTTGCTCACGCCGGGTTTTAGCTGATGATTTTCAGTGTCAATGCTTTAACGGGCTTGAATACCAAAAGGGCCAAAAGTGTCAATTTTGTATTCCCAGAGCGACTGAGAATTATGGTGAAGGACCTGTTTCAGTTACAGCAGAATATGCGGGGCAGCGTACCGTGGCTGCTTTTGCAGTATTACATTGCTTACTTGATGATGCTGCAGCGGCGTGACTGAAAGCATTGTCATATTGCTAGTACCATGACTAGGTACCAGCCTCCCGTACGAACCTTGTTATAGTACCCCCGGAGCTTCGCAGAAATGATTCAGTATAAAGAGAACAACGTCAAACATGGATGCCATGAATCAATGTGCGATACCAGAACCAGCCGCGTATGCGGAAAGCCATTTTCCGTTGTACCGATCCCATTACGGTGAGAGTCGTGACGTTCATGTGGCAGTGGTTGTTATCGACCTAGTGACTGGGGTGTGGTGCTGTATTGTTGGCGCTGACGGTCGGTTGTGGCGCCTGGGCAGGTTCGCCGGTCCCGGACCGGGCCCCGGCCTGGTGCAGGCGACGGCGGCCGGCGGGCCGCCGCTGCGGCAGCCGGGGCCGGCGGTGGCGGCTGGCAGCGCCGGCCCGATGCTGCGCGGCCCCACCGGCCAGCAGGCGTCGCCGCGCTCCAACATCCCTGGCCTGCAGGAGCTGCTGCACAGCCTCAAGAACCCGACCGGGCCTCAGGCGCAGCAGAACGTGCTGCAGATCCTCAAGTCGCATCCGCAGCTGATGGCGCAGGTGATCAAGATGCAGCACCAGAAGGCGCAACAGCAGCAGCAACAGCAGGCGCAACAGCAGCAGCAGCAGGCGCAACAGCAGCAGCAGCAGCAGCAACAGCAACAGCAGCAACAGCTCCCGCAACATCCCCAGGCCCAGGTCAGCCAGCAGCAGATGATGCAGCCGGTGATGCAGCCGCAGCAGCATCAGCAGCTCCAACGCATACCGGCCGGCGGCATCGTGGTCCAGGGCCAGATGCAACCCGGCCAGATGACGCCCCAGCAGCAGCAGCAATGGGCCGTCAAACAGCAGATCATGGCTATGCAACGGCAACAGCAGCAGCAACAACAGCAACAACAACAGCAACAGCAGCAGCAGCAACAGCAGCAGCAGCACAGCTTCCAGCAGCCGCAGTCCATGGGGTACGGCCAGCGACCGCGGCACGCCATGGGCATACAGCAGCAGCAGCACTTCCAGTCGGACGGCGCGCAGTTCGGCGGCCAGTTCTCGCAGCAGCAGCAGATGCTGTTGCAGCAGCAGATGAAGGCGAGCCCGCAGTCGGCGTCACCACATCAGGGCATGATGGGGCCGCCGGGCGGCATGGCAGTGCCGTCGCCGCAGCAGATGCTGCAGCAGGTGTGCTCGCCGCCTCCGGGCGGCCTGCCGGCGGCCGTGCGCTCGCCGCAGCCCAGCTCCTCACCCCGCCAGATGGGCGGCTACCACGCGCCGTCGCCGCACCGGCCTGCCTCGCACTCGCCGCACCCGGCCGCCGCCGGCCACGGCCTGGCCGGGCCCGATATCGGCAACGAGATGATGCTCTCGCAGCTGGCGGGCGTGTCGGCGGCCGGCCACGGCGCGCTCCAGCTGCAGGGCCACCCGGCCCAGCACGCGGCCGCCGGTGGCGACAACGCCGACAAGCTCTCCAAGTTCGCGGACACCTTGTAGCGCAGGCCGGCCGCGCCCGGCGCCCGTGATAACCCGGTGTGATACTTGTAGCTGCTAGGCCGGGCGCCGCCCGCCGCTGCCACCGCCGCCGACGCCGACGCCGACGCCGACGCCGACGCCGACGCCGACGCGACGCCGACAGAACGCGCCACGCGCCTGCCGCGTTCGGCTGGAATCTGCCGCCTGCCAGCGCAGCCAAGCATTGACGTGTACATAGCGCATTGCCAATATTTTATTTGACATTACGTATCACGTTCGTGTTGATTTGTGTACAAACGGAACAGTTTCTTCTCTTTTTTACTATTTATCATAGATCATGGTGGGTGCGTTGTGAACAGGGTGGTCGCTGGTCCGGTCGGAATGACGGCGTGCTGAACGTCTTAGAATGTGACATTCCACCGAAGTTTCTCCTCTCTTGGAATGGAATTGGAGAGACGCGTCGCTCAACGTTGCATGATGCGTTGATAATTGTTATGTTGATGTCGAATGGCCGCCACACGTGTACAGCTTGTAAAAACCTTTCGTCTTTTTTACCGGGGTAATCAGTACAAAAGCGATCATTGCCCTAGTTGTTAGCATCTTGTAAGATGATCATTGTAATAAAATCTCAACGATTATTGAAGATGCCATGTGTCCTTGGGGCTATGCGCGTGCACCAATACCACCAACGGGAAATAATGCAATCAGTGAAGCGAAACAGGCCGCTGGCAATGGAATGGAGTTCTCCCGCGATGCACCCCCTGTAGCCAAAGTGGGAGTAGGGAAGCAGTTGCTAAAGTTACTAACTCATTTGCGAAGAACCGTAGGTCTGATGGGAATCACCAGTGTCGCGGGGCAACTTTGCATCATCTTCAACAGGACTGAGCGTGCCTCGCTGCGCTCGCGGCCTGCGTTTCAAAGGTCTCGAGCTCGTTTGCGCGAGGCGGATTGAAGTGCCGCGTCTGGAGGCGAGAGGCACAGTCGTGGTGTGTTACGCACAACAGCCGGGAGCGTGTGCGTGCTGAGCTGGGTGCGTCGCGTGCGCACGCAGTAGGGTGTCCCAAAAATATCAGCTTTCGAGAAGACCCCGTGTGCCAATCTGTTTCCCGTTCCTTGGAGACTCAAATACGGATAATTCTTTGTTCTTCAATTAATTCTTCGAATAATTCTTCATGCGAATAACCGGCAGTTAAAATTGCTATTTGTCCCGTGCTCAAACACTAAGTGTTCCTGATGCCTGAACGGGGATGGCAACGCTGGAACACGGCGATCGTTCGTGTTGCTGTGTTTGTTTCGAAGAAACGGCATGCAACTAAGTTGACAGAAGCTGTGGCATGCATTGATATGTAGTGTTTCAACAGCGTTTTTCGCGTGCACTGCCCGCTCAAAATGTCATATGATCAGGGCTTTCTCGAAGTGAATGCATCGATGAGCTCCAATGCGTGGGGAAAAAAGACCGTAACTGCGGCGCCGTCAGGCATACGGGCCCCAGGGCATGAGATGGCATGAGAGGCATGAGGGCAAGGACATGAGATAGCCGCTTTGTGTCTGTCCTCCGGCGCAACCTTCATCTGATTACACCCCGATTTCAGATCTAGGATTCAAAAAACGGAGGAGCCAGCCAGAGACTCAAGATCGTCATGAACATTGGCGACCGGGCAGGCCGGGATCTGGGGGGACCTGGCCGGGGGGGGGGGGGACCTGTTCACTCTGCGCATGTCGGCACAGATACGCGGTTCGGCCCCACGGCGTTTGCGGACCAGAACCACTGGACGGGCCCATCACCATTACTGTCCTCCAGGGTACTTTTTCCACCAGGTCACCGATTCGAGCTCTCACCTCGTCTCTGAGGTGGGAGGGGATGCGTCTCGGCGCCTGTCTGATAGGCGGACGGTCACCCGTTGAAATGGTGTGCTGCACCAGCGTTGTGAGCCATCGGAGAGCCGCCAGCTCGAGGACGGACGCGCCGGCGGGACGGACTCTGCGGAGTGCCTGTGACGCGCGTCAAATACAGAGGTGAATTTGGACGTACTGAGTGTACCAGTGAGCCGGAAGCGAGACGTCAGAACAGCAAAATTTGCATATATATATATATATATATATATATATATATATATATAGCGACATTGTGAACGTAGATGATAGCTAACATAGATCGCAGAGCGAAATAGGGTTATAAATTTGCTTGGACAAGCCCAACCCCTGTGTGTTGGGAATCTACAACCTTTTCCAGAATTCAGCTGCGAAAGGAATGCATCACATGCTTTTAACCATGCACGCTCGCAAGTCTTAGCACAAAAAACCCGATGCACAGCGTTGCAGTCTCCGTAGGCTGCGGTGTCGGCTAATACCAGGCGAGGAAAAATGATACTTAAAATTTGCATTTATTTTACATGTAATTTTACATCCAAACTGAATATCAGGCGGAGGCTAGCGGACGGGCAAAAATGATATTGTTTTCGAAAAGTACCTTCGAACGCCTGAGGGTGTCAATTTGCACGTTTAGAAAGATACCCGTGGGTATATTTCACCTTAACAGCTTTTAGACTTGCAATATGAAAGCAGTATCAATTACGGCAAATCGGATGAAGATGGATGCCCTCATTTGTGTCGGCCTTTTTCAATTTTGGCTTCGTCTGCATCCGCTCTATTGAAAACCAAAGAAACTCTTACCTTGTCCGGATAAGGGCCTAGTGGGTAGAACACCATGAGAACATTACATTTCCCGATCGGAGGTCAAAGTAAGGGTGCAATCCGTTACAGCGCGGGGTGCCTGACACCTGTCATGCAGGCGACTCGGAGGGCGGGGTCTCTAGGTCGATACGAAAGCCCTTGGCAGAATCAGTCATACATTGGTCGTCTGCCTGGCGCTGGAGTCCCTGAACCGACTATTGGCCCCCGATAGACGCAGGGGTCCTCATTGCCGCGCAAAAGTCCCTTACCGCCCCAGGTGATCCTAAAAGGAGCTCCAGTTCAGCAAAACGATCCCTTGGCTGAATTGGGACGAAAAACTTCCCGTTTTGAACTGGAGTCCCTGACTGTCGCCGGGCCTTCCAGTGCCATTTTTTAGTCTCCAGTCTTAAACTCTGATATCTACTTTTGTTGCCAGGTGGCCTGTGGTGGCGGTGGTTTCGTGTTTTAGGGCGCGTCGGCATCAACCAACATAAGACGACTCGGAGGGCGTTCGTGAGACGACCCTGTAGCGTTCGGGGTCCCGTCCCTACCCCTGTTCCGCAAATGTTACCTTGGCCGACTCAAGACCCTTTGCTGACATAGGATCCTCTATTGTAAACTGTGGGGGCCTGACCGACAAAGGAGCGCGCATTGTGTCAGTGACCTCGACCAATGCGAATCGAGGGTCCAGATCTTGTCCCTGCTTGGGAGATGGGCCCCCAAGGCTCAGACCGACTCGGAGCCGATTGTTCGGAGTTAGTATTCTGACCGATAGAGGCCCACATTGTCCAGGCTATTCCGGGCCCCCAAGGCTCAGACCGACACGGAGCCGATTGTTCGGAGTTAGTATTCTGACCGATAGAGGCCCACATTGTCCAGGCTATTCCACATCGATTCAGGAGGCCCCCTGACTGATTTTTGGGAAACCACCTGTGGATCGGGGTCCTTAATGTGACCTACCGCCAGCTCTTCTCGCCCTCCAATCTAACACTTGATCGTGGGTGCCGAGGGGCACTTCAGGACCCTCTGTTGGACCTCACGAATACTATTCATGACAGATTTGGAACCCTTTACCAATACCGGGCCCTTGTCAGGCACTGTGATCCCCAGACCCACACAGGGGGCCCCTCATTGACTCAGAGGCCCTGCAGATGTAAAAAGCGGGCCCGACGTTATGTCTGCCTGGGACAGGGGCCTGTGTTCCAGATCAGACGCTGGAGTAATCTTGTAGTGAATTCCGCCTCCACCACAGGGGTGTAATTTGACACAACAGGCCTGGGGCTGAGAGGAAAAAAAACCTAACCAAACAACAGGCCTTTCCCCGGATTTGACCCACTTTCCTCTCAACATTAGTACGTTGGGGTTACCGCCCTCCCCTCCCCCCCCCCCCCTCCCTCCCCAATGGAATAGGAAACTACATCCAGCTCTAATACGTTTCCCCGCTCTTTCCTGACGGAGGAAGTTGACGATGGGCATCACCATCAGTTTGTATGGCGTCGATCATCGGAAACAGATTCCTGTAACTGACGGGAGGTCGACATTATGTGATTTCAGACATTCTTAAACGTGCGCGGCCTCGGGAGTAACGAATGCAAGTTGCTGCGTGGGACTATTAGAGGCTGCCACGGAAACCCCCGGCTGATAGCCGCAAGGCGGGGTGCAGGTGGCAGCTCAGCACTCGCATTAGGCATGCTGTGGGGCAATTGCCGCTATCGGTGTCGTCGGCTGGTGTCAATCGTTAAGTCTTGTAACTGTTCCATCGAGTATTCACCACCAAGCGGAGGTCGGCACATTTCAACCGTTCTTCCGAATGTAAACGGCTAATAACCGGGTCGCGTTTTCGGGGGGTTATAAATTCGACCAATTTGTTTTATTCTTATGATTGCGAAGCAAAGTCATGCAGTTTGCTGCAGTCTGTAGAACAAGAAACATCGCTGATTAGAATAGATCGAAATTAAATAGAAAGTAGGCCAAAATCAAGAAGAGATACTAATATTTTAACTAAAATAATGCATCATTAAAAGAGCGTAGACAATTATCTACTAAACATGACATTGCGCGTACCGTTTTCTTTCCCCTTTATCTGTGAAACCTACTTCACAATAAACATAATGCTGATCTCTCATTGTTCATACCCTTCTTTACTTTGGCGTCGGAAGGTTGGATGGTCAAGCTCACTATTGAGGGGGGGGGGGGTAAACTAGACATGGGGCAGTGGCCTACCAAAAAAAGCAAATCGACGCCCGTGCAGGTGACGTGTCGTCGAGCGTTTGACGGTCATGGTGGTCACTGTTTTCGTTGGGTTTGACGACATGTCTGATGGCTCGTGTTGATGACAAAGATATCGAAATGTTTCACACCTATCTCCGCTGGTCGACGAAGCTCTTTGCCGAAAGCTACCCCTGTGCCTTACGTTTGAGAGCAAAGGTTGCGAATATATTGTTCCCCGGCTCCCAAAATGGGATGCAATGCCTCCAACATGTTTGGTAGTCGGCCAGGGGTAGTCATTGGGTGTTTACGACGCATTCAGTCGCTGGCGCCGACTACACCTAGC